GATGATGATGATGATTTCTGGAAAAGATGTATTTCTTGTCAAAATTGGATTGATATATAATGTTTTGTCGTACTTTTAGTTTATATAGCATATAGTTTAGTCTTATCTTCATAAAAATGCATATTAATTTCATACTCAATTTTATTGAATAGCTATTTTTATCGAAATATAACTGATAACATAATTTTCTGACTTATCACATATAATTTAGTCTTAAGTATATAAAATTCATATTAATTTGATGTTTAATATTATTGAATAGCTTTTTTGTCGAAGTTTAATTGGTATCACATAACTTTCTGGCTTACTTCCAGGGAATATCGCATATAATTTAGTCTTTAAGTTTAGGAAATTCATATTGATTCGATGTTTAATATTACTGAATAACACTTTTTCGTTGAAGTGTAATTGATGTCGCATACCTTTCTCTCTTTCAGGGATTATCGCATATCTTTTAGTCTTACTTTTAGGAAAATGTATATATATATGTAATATAATTGATATCACGTATCTATCTGACTTACTTTCAGGGAAAATTGAATATATTTCAGGAAAAGACGTATTTCTTGTCAAAATTGAATTGATATCACACAATCTTTTAGTCTACTTTCTGTTAATACAGCATATATTTTAGTCTTATCTTTATAAAAATGCATATTAATTCCATATTTAATTTTATTGAATAACTGTTTTTTGTCGAAATATAACTGATATCACATAACTTTGTGGCTTACTTTCAAGGAATATCGTATATATGTTAGTCTGCCTTTAGGAAAATGCATAGTAATTCGATGTTTAATTTTATTAAATATGTTTTTTTTATTTGGCCTCCGCCTATATCTGCTCAGCTGAGAGGCAGGGTGTGTAAATATGACCGATACAAGTCGAAGTCGTTGTAAGTGACACATCTAGGAAGACTGGTGTTACGCTTCAAGTAAACATAAGTTTCTGGTTATATCTTCACTCGGATATAGAATCTTTAAAAACAAATGGTCCAACTCGAGAACAGTTCATTACAACTTTCTCCGCATTCGAGGTTTGGCGTGAAATGATATCACGACTGTTTTGTAAGAAGTAGTCTTCTTAGTCCATTTAAAATTACTGCTTCCTTCTTGACCTCACGTATTTATCCCAGAAACCATTCCACTTTTCAAAACAGACTCTGCTTGCCATGTTCTATCATTAAAAGAACCAGATCAAACCAAATATAGAGTATCTAGATTCAAGTGATGCTAAACTTTGTATTCTCTCACAAAAAACATCCTGATTGCTTTGTGAACCAATACCGTTGTATAACAGATTCAAATTTAAAGCTGTGTGTTATTCCTTAAATTTGAAACCCAAAATGTATTCTTTAGAATTATTTTCCACCCGACAAACTTCGCAGGCCTTTCGCTACTCCCCACCCCCGCTATTTCCATGGAATATGTTTAGACGAAATATATTTCTTAGTTTTACCACTTCTAAAACTTCATGGCTAAGACTCACCATTCCACTCACATTGTAACGAATCACTCTCATTCCTTTTATATTCCATTATTGAGTTCCATTCGACCAGATTCTTCCCACGAACTGCTGCTTTGTATAACCGACTCCCAAGAGGATACTTCCCCGATCACTAGAATCTTGGCCTGGTCAATCGTTTTCTTCCACAAGTATCTCCGCAAACTGTGCCTCTTACTCTGTAACACTCTACCTCGGGGTGCTCTTAGGCCTTTTACGGGGTGAACATCATTGTAAAAACATTAACCAACAAAGAGATATTTTCTCCAAGTAATAGAGAACATTGAATGATACACGTGTCTGTACAGCAACTTTTATTCGAATCAGCTTGTCACTAAGATTTTCTTTATTTCAGGGAGAGAAAACAGTTCACATATTGTTCAGCACACTACCTCAAGGCGACGTCACAATTAGGCTGGAAGGTATACCGAAACGCTTGCCAGCAAAGAGGTACACACAAAACACGTATACGTGTGAATTGCCAGGTAAGTAAAAACCGGTATATATATATATGAAGTGTGTAGAAACTGTCCAAATGTTCTGTTACTCTGAGCACTTTCGGCTATACTTCTAGCCATTATCAAGGATGATGTATTTTTGCTTTTTAACTGGGTGTAGGTTTTGTGTGTTCATTTCTAGAGTTATAGGGATGTTTTAATTTTTAAACACAAAAGAAGCATCTTGTTAGCAAGGTCGATTTTACTGCTTTTTTACTGCTTTTAAACTACAAATTTCTAAGATTTCCCTCGAACGTTCTTATCTGCTCGAAGCGTATCTTAACTAGTCTAGCACGTCGGGCTATATGAAGGTTCCGTGTGGGATACAGGTTCGATTCCTATCAGAAGACGCATATTTTCTATGAAATTTCTCGGACATTCAAGTTGTTAATGCTATTTATTATATACAGAAAATATTTGTGTTTATATAAATAACGTATAACGATAAAATATATAAAACTATGATACGAAAAAATTATTTATGTTATAGAAAATATTTTTTTATTCAGTCTTTAAAAAATAAACTTCATTGTTTTTTTGGTTTGTTACTAACATGAAAAAAGTAAATAATTTAAAATTATATTTTATTAAAGCAAAAACTGTAACGAGCCTTATTTTTTTTCAAAAATTAATTTAAATAAAATATAATTAAATTCATAAAACAAATATTCAACTTGACTAATGTTGACTGTAACTCATGTCTGTCTCTCGTAATTTTTCTTTTTTTTTTTTCTTTTCAACATTTTGGGCGGGTGGGTCATTGTTATTTTGCACACGTTCCTTCAATTTTTACACGCAAAAAAAAAAAAAACATTGTACACTGCCTCTCAACTGTCATACAGAAAAAAAACGTAAATAAATATATGGCGTATTAAATATACAGAGTATAATAGCCAATAAAACGCTTGAGTGTCAATCAAGGTAGCGGGTTACTCTTAAGATGGTTATGAAGAATGAGGCTGCGATGTGAATGGCAAGAAGTTAAGGATAAGCAGGATAAGAGGATAAATCACAGTTAACTCTTGCTATGAAGAGGTTCAGATTGTAGTACTCAGGAAAGCACCCACGTGGGAGTCTGTTAGCCAAAGCTACTACTTTGGAGAAAATGAGGGTGATTTGACACCGTGGAAGAAGCATGGTATGTCCTAGCTGTAAATGTCTGAACTGGTGGAATGGAGTTTTTTTTTAATCATTTCACCCCAAGCAAGGCAATAAAGCTACTAAGATGCAGAGTTACTGAGTGTTAGAGAATCTTAAAAAAATACTATTAAGAAGAGAATCAGAGTTAAGAAGACAGTAGCTATCGATTGACATTGTATTTAAATTTTTAAACATCAAAGTTGACTGGGAAGCAAGAAATCGGAAGAGTGTTCCACAAGCGAGAAGTGCGATAGAAAAAAAAACTGTTAGTAGAAAATCTAAGTTTACATCTCGCCATTTCAAGTGATATCTTGCCGTCAATATAGTACTGCGGTTAAATTCATAAAGCCTAGATACCATCAAAGAAGGTTTGTTAGAACAATTACCATGACATTATTTATAGAAAAGGCACAGGGAAGCCGCATTACGACTGTGGGGAAGTAACTGAAGGACAGATGTTAACAACATTGAAAAATCTTTTTTGGAATTTATCAAGAATCTCTAAATATATACCAAGAGTAGCAGACAAGATGTGGCACTTGTATTCAAAGCAAGAACGAATGGCAGATCGATAGATATACTAGACCAGTGATCGGCAACCTACAACCCACTATGTAATTTCCAATGGTACGCAGCCGTAAATATCACCACGTAGTCAAACCAATAACTGCTAGAACGCAAAGAAGATATTTAGCTGTTTCAATTACTATATAAAATATATTACAGAACAGGTATATTGACCTTGACATGTATAATAAATACGTATGTTGTTGGCACACTGAATGATTTTAAAACCGTAAATCGGCACATAGCAAAATTTAGGTCACTGGCAGTTGAGGTTATAAAAGTTGATTTTAACGTTCCATTGAAATGAAAGATAATTTTATTATGATTCAGTTAAGCAATTCAATTCGTTCCTTTCATCATTGGTCTGGCTTACAACTTCATGTTTAACGTTTTACTGATTGTTTACCGCATTTAATAGGATTAGAACTTCCGGGATATACTTGAACATTAAATCAGATACAACTGAAAATAATTTTTTAATCTGCCCCCAAAATATTTTTAAATCATGTTCACTTGAAAAATATTTTTTTTAAATATGCCAAAAAAATATTTTTTTTAAATATTAAAAATATTGCTTGTTTGAAGAAAGCTAAAATATAGATAATTATTCTACTGTAGAGGGGCCGTGGCTGTTATGTTGTTGATAGAAGTCAGACGTAGAAGAAACGCAAGTAAGGTTCAGATACTCCTGCCCGCCGGGCCCAAATATATAAAAAGGTTGGACTTTGATTAAGTCCAAAGAAGAAGGCAAAGAAAGCAAACAAAACCCAACACCGATAATATATGTATGTACAAATATATATTAATAACAAGTTACAATACATGGAAACAGTACAAAGGATGAAGTGTATGGGAATATTCTGTATGTGCGTGCGTGTGTGAATATTCTGTATGTACGTGTGTGTGTATTGTGCTTAGCGTGTTTCCACGCTATCCCTTGTTAGTGCCTACAATTCGAGGTTGATAGCTGAAAGCCTGAGGTAAAAGAGAGATTTACCTCAAGGTGTCGGCACACAGGCCTGAAGGAAAAAGAGAGATAGAAGTGAAGGGTCAGCGGCTATTTATAGCCAGGGAAGAGAGACCCCTGGTGAAAAGGTTAACGAACTGAAGGAGGAGTTAACTCCGAAACTACAACCAACTTGAAGCAACAAAATTTTCACACATGGTCAGGTTGTCTGTTGGAATTTCTAAGACATTTCATCTTGAAAGACGACATGTGATTGTACCATCTTCTCGTTAAACTACCTTCAGTACATCCTATGTATGTTTTATTCTGACCATCTGTATCTATAATATATATATATATATATATATATATATATATATATATATATATATATATATATATATATATAAACTAGATTACACGTGACTCGTTGGGTCACTAACGGTTAAGCTTATAAAACAATGAAGTTCATTTCAGCATTCCATTGAAATGAAAGTTAATTTTATGATTAAGTTAAATATTTCAATTCGTTTCTTTCATCATTAATCTGGATTACAAGTTCGTATTTAACGTTTTGTCGATTGTTTACCGCATTTAATAAGAATCGAACTTCCGGATATGCTTCACCTTTAAATCAGATTAATTTAAAAATATTTTTTAATATTGTTATAGATAAGCGTATGGTTGCAAGAAGGAAATATGACAACAGCAGAAATAGATTTACGTGATTTATTTCAATAGGAACGTGTGGGTTTGGGACAGCTACCTTGTGGTATAGTTCATAAGTCGGCTGCTGACCTGGATTGATCTCTCATAGTAGTTCTCGCTGGTTGGCGTGGCACTACTGCTGCTGACTTTTGCTGACTGCCCGTGACAGATATCTTCCCTGGACTCCTGTTGACTGCTATTGTACTTCCCCGTGTGACCCCTTTTATGGCTTTTTTTATGGCTTAACAGGTTCGTAAAACGACGCGAGTATAATTAGGATGGAAGCATTTTATTGGTCGAAAAATAGAAACACTTTAAAATATTATTTTATTTTTCGACCAGAACTCGTGCGTCGGGCTTATGCGTAAACGACGATAATGGTCATTTTGTGACGGTGCCTTGTCCCGTTCACACCCGGCTCTCGCTCTTGAGTATGTTAGTTTATTTGCCTGCAAATCAGCCGAGATATGTCTTATTTTATTTTATAACAATATGATCCCAAAATATTTTAAAATTATATTCACTTGAAAACATTTTTTTAAAATATGCCAAATATATTTTTTTTTAAATATCTAAAATATTGTTTATTTAAAGAAAGTTGAAATAATTATTCTACAAACATCTTGACGAAGCAGCAAAGCGGGATTTCTTTGTTGTTGTATTTAACTTAAAAAATATTTTAATTAAAAAAATTATCTGTTTGAAGAAAGTTAAAATACAAATACTTTCTGTGTAAACAACACGTATTTTTTAAAAAATCTTATTCATTTAAATTAGATTAACTTAAATCATTCTGCTCCTGAAGGACCTACCATATAAGCAAGCAAGCATGAACACGATCACAGACTTTTACTATAATATAAATAAGATAGGTTTTGTTGAGAAAAATGTCAATCGTGACGCGGGTAAAAAACTTACTTCGCAGTAGACCTAGCAAATGATTTGATATAATCTTTCCACTTCATGTCAGCGGAAAACGCAATGAGTCACTCAGCTGAACACTTGCTATAGAAATGGCGGTAGGTTAACGATAAGGTTACTACGTTGCTACAAAGTCGTTAGAGCGTTCGCATTCTGACCATGAGATCCGGGTTCGAATCTCACCATGGTCTATTAGGCAAGAAGGAAACTGATGCTATCAGACTGAAGGGGTCGGTCCCAGCGTGCGGCAACTTTGGAAAGTGAAATTTGGGTAGACGGAACCCTTGGGGGCCGTCGATAACTAACTCGAAGTCACAAGTCATCGTGGCCGAGAAACTGTGTTCAAATTGTTGATCTCGCTTAGCATAGTTACAGTAGAGTAGGCTCTGTGGGTGTTGAATAAACAAAATTGCGTCTAGTAGACGGATAACCTCGAATAAGATTGGCCAGCTTATACAATGAGAAAGAAGCTGCAAAATAGACACTCTATAAGGACGTGTAAACGATTGTTGTATGGACGCAAGAGGAGAAGGTAAGAAGTTCAGATTATTAGGATATGCAGGAACCATAAAGGCTAACGCTAAGATTACAGGCATCGGGAAAGCATCATCTCGGGAGTCTGTTCTACGAAGTAGCGGTTCATAGTAATAAACTGATCGAGTGAAACTTCCGTTTTTTTACTTTGTGATTCGTACTGTTGTTCATGGTATGGCTGGTCTTATCTGTGGAAATCTGAATTAGTGGAGTTAAGGAATGTAGCCCGTCTGAATATTTGACATGAAAATAGCGAGATTTCTTCGGTGGGAGAGGGTTTGTAACGTTGACAATAATTCATCACACACAAGGCCGCGTAGTCAATGTGAACTATATCAAGCAAAGTCGTAGGGAAATCCTCCATTTCAAATGAAGAATAAAAATTTATCCATTGATACAATGATTGTGAATAGGAAACTAGAATGCTGAATACGAAAAAAAAAAAAAAAAAAAGGAATGAAAAAAAAAAATGGGATTTAAAAAATATCTAATGTTAACAATCTGGGCAGCTTTGAAATGTGGTGTTAACCGTGTACTTTTCGCCTCACCCCGACATACTTTATAGATGTAAGTACATTCACAATCGGAATACACAGTTGATTTTTTTCAGAGGTTGAAGGAGGGCAAAAAATAATATCGGTTTATATGGAGGGAATCTCCCATTCTGTGTATTCGACGAGAATCGTAATAGTAACGACCGAAAAACTCTTGGAAAACTACGTTGAGAATTTACAACAGACATTTGGTGAAAGAAACAGATCATCAGTAAGTAAATCTCATATATATATATATATATATATATATATATATATATATATATATATATATATATTTTATTATTATCGTCATTATTATTATTATTTAATTATTTATTTATTTTGCTTTTATTATCATTTAATCACTACAAATGTTTTTAATTTTTATTAATTTGTCACTATTTTTAAGCAAACAAAGAGCCACCCTTTTAACCTTAAACTTAGTTTAATTAATAACAGGGTCCGATTTATAAGATAAAATAATACAACTTTATTGTTGTTAACTGAACAATTAAAATTGAAGAACGACTTAAATTTTTTTTTTATAAAAGGCAGAAATATATATACATTTATAGAACATTTACTATTAAAATAATTTTTTTTTTAAATCGAAAAAATTGACAGTTTGCATTTATAAACCTGGAAAGGCAGTTAAAAAAACCTATATAATATTTACTATAAGATAAAATAATACAACTTTATTGTTGTTATACAATTAAAATTATAGAACGACTACATTTATAGAACAGGTTTTTTTTTTTTTCTCGAAAGGCAGTTTGCTCGAAACCTGAAAAAAAAATAAAACTACATTGTTTCTAATATTTACTATAAGATAAAATAATACAACTTTATTGTTGTTAACTGAACAATTAAAATTAAAGAACGACTACATTTATAGAACAGGTCTTATTTTTTTTTCTATAAAGACAGTTTGCTCGAAACCTGTTTAAAAAAAATAAAACTACATTGTTTCTAATATTTACTATAAGATAAAATAATACAACTTTATTGTTGTTAACAATGAACATATAAAATTAAAGAACGACTATTGTTTCATTTTATATATAAAATAATACAGGTATTTTATTTTTTTTTTTTTTTTTTCTAGAAAGACAGTTTGCTCGAAACCTGGGGTTAAAAAAAAAAATAAAACTACATTGTTTCTAATATTTACTATAAGATAAAATAATACAACTTTATTGTTGTTAACTGAACAATTAAAATTAAAGAACGACTACATTTATAGAACAGGTCTTATTTTTTTTTTTTCTCGAAAGACAGTTTGCTCGAAACCTGTGGTTAAAAAAAAAAATAAAACTACATTGTTTCTAATATTTACTATAAGATAAAATAATACAACTTTATTGTTGTTAACTGAACAATTAAAATTAAAGAACGACTACATTTATAGAACAGGTGTTATTTTTTTTTTTCTCGAAAGACAGTTTGCTCGAAAACCTGGGGTTAAAAAAAATAAAACTACATTGTTTCTAATATTTACTATAAGATAAAATAATACAACTTTTATTGTTGTTAACTGAACAATTAAAATTAAGAACGACTACATTTATAGAACAGGTGTTATTTTTTTTTCTCGAGAGACAGTTTGCTCGAAACCTGGGGTTAAAAAAAATAAAACTATAAAAAGATAAAATAATAAACTTTATTGTTTCAATAAAATTGAAGAACGACTACATTTAAGATAAAATATTTTTTTTTCTCGATACAAAAAACTTTTTCTATATTTACTATAAGATAAAATAACAACTTAAAAACAATTAAAATTGAAGAACGACTACATTTATAGAACAGGTCTTATTTTTTTTTTTTCGAAAAGCAGTTTGCTCGAAACCTGGGGTTAAAAAAAATAAAACTACATTGTTTCTAATATTTACTATAAGATAAAATAATACAACTTTATTGTTGTTAAATGAACAATTAAAATTGAAAGAACGACTACATTTATAGAACAGGTCTTATTTTTTTTTTCTCGAAAGGCAGTTTGCTCGAAACCTGTGGTTAAAAAAATAAAACTACATTGTTTCTAATATTTACTATAAGATAAAATAATACAACTTTATTGTTGTTAACTGAACAATTAAAATTAAAGAACGACTACATTTATAGAACAGGTGTTATTTTTTTTTCTCGAAAGGCAGTTTGCTCGAAACCTGTGGTTAAAAAAAATAAAAACTACATTGTTTCTAATATTTACTATAAGATAAAATAATACAACTTTTATTGTTGTTAACTGAACAATTAAAATTAAAGAACGACTACATTTATAGAACAGGTTTTTTTTTTTTCTCGAAAGACAGTTTGCTCGAAACCTGTGGTTAAAAAAAAATAAAACTACATTGTTTCTAATATTTACTATAAGATAAAATAATACAACTTTATTGTTGTTAACTGAACAATTAAAATTAAAGAACGACTACATTTATAGAACAGGTTTATAGAAAGGCAGGTCTTAAAAAAAATTTTTTTCTAATATTTACTATAAGATAAAATAATACAACTTTATTGTTGTTAACTGAACAATTAAAATTAAAGAACTCATTTATAGAACAGGTCTTTTTTTTCTCGAAAGACAGTTTGCTCGAAACCTGTGGTTAAAAAAAAAAAACTACATTGTTTCTAATATTTACTATAAGATAAAATAATACAACTTTATTGTTGTTAACTGAACAATTAAAATTGAAGAACGACTACATTTATAGAACAGGTCTTATTTTTTTTTCTCGAAAGGCAGTTTGCTCGAAACCTGTGGTTAAAAAAAAAAACTAACTATTGTTTCTAATATTTACTATAAGATAAAAATAATACAACTTTATTGTTGTTAACTGAACAATTAAAATTGAAGAACGACTACATTTATAGAACAGGTCTTATTTTTTTTTCTAGAAAGGCAGTTTGCTCGAAACCTGGGTTAAAAAAAAAAAAACTACATTGTTTCTAATATTTACTATAAGATAAAATAATACAACTTTATTGTTGTTAACTGAACAATTAAAATTAAAGAACGACTACATTTATAGAACAGGTCTTATTTTTTTTAGAAAGGCAGTTTGCTCGAAAGGCAGTTTGCTTCTAATATTTACTATAAGAAAAATAATACCTGTGGTTAAAAAAAAACGACTAAAACTACATTGTTTTTTTTTCTAATATTTAAATAAGATAAAAAAAATACAACTTTATTGTTGTTAACTGAACAATTAAAATTGAAGAACGACTACATTTATAGAACAGGTCTTATTTTTTTTTTCTCGAAAGGCAGTTTGCTCGAAACCTGTGGTTAAAAAAATAAAACTACATTGTTTCTAATATTTACTATAAGATAAAATAATACAACTTTATTGTTGTTAACTGAACAATTAAAATTGAAGAACGACTACATTTATAGAACAGGTCTTATTTTTTTTTTTTTCGAAGTTTGCTCGAAACCTGTGGTTAAAAAAAAAAAAAAAACTACATTGTTTCTAATATTTACTATAAGATAAAATAATACAACTTTATTGTTGTTAACTGAACAATTAAAATTGAAGAAACGACTACATTTATAGAACAGGTCTTATTTTTTTCTAGAAAGGCAGTTTGCTCGAAACCTGGGGTTAAAAAAAAAAAAAAAACTACATTGTTTCTAATATTTACTATAAGATAAAATAATACAACTTTATTGTTGTTAACTGAACAATTAAAATTGAAGAACGACTACATTTATATAACAGGTCTTATTTTTTTTTTCTCTAGAAAGGCAGTTTGCTCGAAACCTGTGGTTAAAAAAATAAAAAACTACATTGTTTCTAATATTTACTATAAGATAAAATAATACAACTTTATTGTTGTTAAAAAAAAATAAAACTGAACAATTAAAATTGAAGAACGACTATTTTTATAGAACAGGTTTATTTTTTTTTTCGAAAGGCAGTTTGCTCGAAACCTGGGGTTAAAAAAAAATAAAACTACATTGTTTTTTTTACTATAAGATAAAATAATACAACTTTATTGTTGTTAAAACAATTAAAATTAAAGAACGACTACATTTATAGAACAGGTCTTATTTTTTTTTTCTCGAAAGGCAGTTTGCTCGAAACCTGGGGTTAAAAAATATAAAACTACATTGTTTCTAATATTTACTATAAGATAAAATAATACAACTTTATTGTTGTTAACTGAACAATTAAAATTGAAGAACGACTACATTTATAGAACAGGTCTTATTTTTTTTTTTCTCTAGAAAGGCAGTTTGCTCGAAACCTGGGGTTAAAAAAAATAAAAAACTACATTGTTTCTAATATTTACTATAAGATAAAATAATACAACTTTATTGTTGTTAACTGAACAATTAAAATTTTATAAGAATTTTTTTCGAAAGGCAGTTTGCTCGAAACCTGTGGTTAAAAAAAAATAAAAACATTTATATTGTTGTTAACTGAACAGGTCTTATTTTTTTTTTTTCTAGAAAGGCAGTTTGCTCGAAACCTGTGGTTAAAAAAAAATAAAACTACATTGTTTCTAATATTTACTATAAGATAAAATAATACAACTTTATTGTTGTTAAGTGAACAGTTAAAATTGAAGAACGACTACATTTATATAACAGGTCTTATTTTTTTTTTTCTAGAAAGGCAGTTTGCTCGAAACCTGTGGTTAAAAAAAATAAAACTACATTGTTTCTAATATTTACTATAAGATAAAATAATACAACTTTATTGTTGTTAAGTGAACAATTAAAATTAAAGAACGACTACATTTATAGAACAGGTCTTATTTTTTTTTTAAAAAGGCAGTTTGCTCGAAAACCTGTGGTTAAAAAAAAAAATAAAACTACATTGTTTCTAATATTTACTATAAGATAAAATAATACAACTTTATTGTTGTTAACTGAACAATTAAAATTGAAGAACGACTACATTTATAGAACAGGTCTTATTTTTTTTTCTCGAAAGGCAGTTTGCTCGAAACCTGAAAAAAAATAAAAAAACTACATTGTTTCTAATATTTACTATAAGATAAAATAATACAACTTTATTGTTGTTAACTGAACAATTAAAATTGAAGAACGGTCTTTATAGAACAGGTTTTTTTTTTTTTCTAGAAAGGCAGTTTGCTCGAAACCTGTGGTTAAAAAAAATAAAACTACATTGT